TGACCCAGTGTCTGGTGGAGCTGACCGAGGTATGAAAGCAATAGTTGGGGTGTTATCCTGATAAGAAGCCTGATTAGCAGCACCAGAAGATTTTTCATGTAGATCCCAACAGAAGTCAACAGTGTGTCCTCCACGACCACAGTGAGTACAGGAATGGGATCCACTACGGTCTTCACGACCACCCGTACGACCTCCTGTACGACTTCCTCGACCACCACTACCACTACGTCCACCTCGATGACCATCACTATGACTACTAGAAACCATAAGAACTGAGCGGTCAGTGGAGACACCATGATCGATGCTTGGGAGAGTAGACATTGTAGCACGCTATAAACGAGAGAAAACCTCAAGCAGTGATGAAAGACTAGAACCACCCAAAATCTGAGAACGGATAGCCTCATATTTAGGTTTCAATTCTACCAAAAATCGAACAACATTCAGGTCCTCATGTTGCTTCTGCCAAATTGCTGCATCAGTAGTAAACGGATGGTAGGTCTTCATCTCCTCACAAACTCCCCGAACATGAGAGTAATAGTCCGCAAGGCTCAGAGTACCCTACTCCAACTGGAAGTACTCCTTGCACACCTCATACGCACAGGTAAAATTACATGTACCAGAATACATAGTGGCCAAGTGATCCCATATATCTTTGGTAGTATCAAGATAAAGCAGAGAAGAGCTAATACTAGGCTCAATTTTATTCAACAATAAAGAGATAATCTGAGCATCTTCTTGTTCCCACTGATCATACCTAGGAGTGTCTTCCTTGGGTTTAGGATATACTAAATATTTTTTAAATCCTTTGCCTCGAAGAAAGACTTGAACAGATCGGGACCATAAAGTGTAATTAGTCCCATTGAGTTTGACAGAGGTCATGGGACCATTAATAAGAGTGGGAGGAGGCAAAGATGGAGTAAGGGACGTGATATCTTGCTTGGAATCCATAATAGTGCCGCAAATAGCAAATAACAGAAGGAAAGGAAGCAGCTGAACCTGAACCGGGCTGGTGGACCACTGAACCGGACCAGCTGGACCAACTGGGATACTAAACCGGGTTGGAAAACCGGGCTGGACAACTAAACCAGATCGGCTGGGCTCTCTGGACCGCTAAACCGGTCTAAAAACGGACTAAACCACACCTAAACCGGTCTAAAACTACCTGAACTGGCCTAAAGGGCCTTAACCGGTCTGGTCTGAGGCTACTAGATCCAAGTCTGGATCCGGGTATGGATTAGGGTCTGGACTTCTTCTTCTCCAAAGAGCAAACCCTAATGCTCCTTCAACATGACATACACCAATCGAACAGCAAAGCAACAACCACACAACGACGAGCAACACAACGTCGACCACAATCGACTTCACCAAGAACCACCACCACCACCTAATTGGAGAACCAGAAACTCCCACCAAGCAAACCGGTCGACTACCACCACACGACCACGAACCAGCACAACACAGTTGACTACCACCAGCACAACCACGGACCACGACGACCACACCAGTCACACAACTGTGAACCAGAAAAGTTAAAATTTGTATTGATTTTGCTCTGATACCATGTTAAGTTTGGAAGATTAACATAGAGACAATATTTAGGGAGAAACAGAGGGAGGTTAAAATTTAACCTAGCCCTCATACATCACTTGTATTTATAGGTAACTCATAATAATAAAAATTACACACACATCCTCATGTATTTGCACATAATACCCTAACACTATTAACACTTCACATATACACCCTAATACTCTTAACATTCATAAAAAAAAAATAATAAAATAATTTATGATAATAAAAGTTATATTTAGCCATCTAGATTGAATTTTTAGACTTCATAATAGTCAATAATCATCAATTTTTTCGTAGACGTGTCCTAAACATATATAATTTAAATAATTGCTCTCATATTCTCAATTACTTTTATTCTAAATCTTTTCTTTATCTTTTGATTGTGTTATCAAATTTTGAGGACAATTTTAACATGTTTAGTTTTAGTATTTGTATGTTTTCTCATAGTATAAGATATTTATTAGTCAAATTTTAAGCTTTTTTAATCACATGTGAATGCATGTTTATTGTTTTGTAGTAGGCACGGTCTAAAAAAGTGTCAGACACATTACCAAAGAAGTGTTAGACATGTGTCTGAAATTAAAATATTTTCATTTAATTATGGATACAGATAAAAGAATATTCGACATGTGTCCGAAGAGTATAGGTGTCTGACACGTGGCCGACACAGATACGTCACCTTCTTAAAGAGTGTATGTGCTTTATAGCTGTTAACAGCTTTTATAAGCTTTTCACTAATTGTATAACAGGATTAAATTGATGTCAACAAACTTAGTTTTCTTTAATAAAATAATATAATATATAGCATGCACATATGGTAAATGCAAATAGGTTTTTACCTTTTGGCGTCGCTACTCGATATTCATTTTGGTGGTGCCTGACAGCCTTGACCCATTAAATTGATGAGATGCATCCCTTTACCTGGGCAAAAATATGAATGCTCTCCCGTAGTTATTTCCCTGGCTCTCTAACTTGGTCCTTCCTGAGGTCTTTGTTGTCGTAAACAATTTAGATTAGTTCTATTGTCATCATTTTGTGGGTAATAGGCTAGTTTTCATTTCCAATAGGATGTCAAGCCTGTGAGTCCGGAATTGGGCAAAATTTTATATGTGATTCCCTTGAGTTCAAATTCCCTTTTCACTATCTCAATCTGCTCTCATCAGTCAATTGAATAAACACCCAGTTACTTTTCCAATCCTTATTGTACATGCATTGTTGAAAACACATCATTAAACCAATCTAGAAAAGATTATTAGCGTGTTAATGAGAATGTAGACAAGCACAATTCCTTTTGACATGTGGTGTTAATGAAAATGTCCAGGATGTTAAGTGTGGTGTTGATGAATCCGAAGCAGTCATAAGCGCACCACAGGTGTCTTGGGCTGGTGGTATTGTCGTTACCGTGGGATGGATGGCATTGGTCCAAATCTTATTAACTGTCTAAAAAATAAAAATAAATTTGAAAATCGAATAACATGTTACGAGTAACATCCCCATTTTTCTTGCTTTTTATTTCCAATGATACCTGTGCTTTCCTTTTCGAACTCATACTTTGATTTCAGTTCTGTGTTCTTATTTAGTTATTTAGAATTTTGAAAATACTTGAAACTAAAGCTGTTTGATTTAAGTTGTTTTGTGCATTATGTATTGATGCCTGTTTGATGCCCTGCATGTTCCCAGGGCATACTATTGTCAATGAGAACAAACCAGTCACCTTTCTTAACTGTATTAAAAGAGCGCCACTAGACCAATTCTGCAATGTTTGTTAAAGTCATTTTGATTAGGTGGAAACTTCTACGTTTGCTAATTATTTTTACCCTGCCTAGAGCTGCTGAATGCCATGACAAGCACAAAGTTGGATGTTACTGTAGTGGCTAAAAAAAATGAGGAAACCATTGACATTATCATGTTGGTAAGAAAAGAAAATAATGGTTCACTCAAGTTTGCTGGATAGAAAATTCGAGCTATAGAAATAAAATTAAATGGATGGCAGATGTTGTGATTAATGCAGGGAATGCTGGCTTGGATGGAGAACTTCCTTGTTGAAATACGAGTCCTTTTAGGAGGCCGTTATGGCATCTGCTTTGAGGCCATGGAGGCCAGTTTTTCGGGTTGTCTAAATCATCTCAGTGGAAACAAGAACAATAATGTGAAAAAGTTGCAGTAGTAATTTGTTCTCGACTTCTTGTGGCCGACCAACTGTAGTACTCTCTTGGGTTATGGAAATGTAATTTTTTAAATGCTTTTGATTTACATGTCTTCTTCTCAATACTGACAAAAGCTCGTCTTCTGCAGTGTATTTTCGTGCTGCACCAGTGCCCACATCTACCATGGTTCTGTAAAACTTCCGACTCCTGGCCTGCTGCTTCGTCCATCTTTAGTTTTCTTTCAGTTTTTTAACCCCCATTGTGTTGCTCTCTTTACTTCCAAAGTGTAACTGTGTTGATTCTGATTTTTTCGTGTGAATCAGTTGGATGCTTCTCTTATCATTAACTGATTTCTTTGTGCCAGCTCATTTTGTCGAGTTGATCCTCAATAATAAGGATGCAATTTTTATACAGCATAATGACAGTGTTTAAGACCACTTTATTGCTCCATAGTGCTTTTACTCTAATCTAAAGTGACAATTCTTGGACATTGCACAAAGATAATGTTCATGAAACCAGGAATTTGCTTTAGAATCTCGTGTTCTGCAGGATGATGAATTCTTCAATCTTTTAAGATATCAATAGCAACGTTTCACTGGATCCTTTAAATTAAACTCAAGTTCACATCATGATCGAAAATATACAGAGTCATCAGAAATGTAGTCTTTCCTAAAATCTAAACGGGAGAATATAGATTCTCCCGTCGAGTCTGACTGAATATGATAAAAAGCTTATAAAACAACGAGCAACCATCATTTCTTCATTATAGATTAAGATCTTCTTTGAACTTGATGCACAAATAGATGGGAATACAACTTCGATCTGGTGGTGTTTTTTTCGACGTGCTAGCATCTCTTGATCATAAATAGGGAACTTCTCTGTTATTCAGGACAAACAGTTTGGTTGAGCTTGCCCCTATATGTTCTTGGGTAGAAGAACAACCAGCCGTTGGTCTCAATGGTAGCTTTGATTGCAAAGAGCTTATCTTCCTTGACGTCGGTCCTTTCTCCATTCCCATGGCATCTCAGGGTTTTTCGAAGCCCACAGTCCAATACGCTTTGCCCGAGCCTCTTTCTCCCACTAGAAGAATGCAAACATCCTCTTAAAAAGAGAGATTCAACACAAAGGTAATACAAGAATTATCTCAAAACTGCTTACCTTTTCTAGTTCTGGACGTTTGTCATAAGCTTTATAATGCCATGCATACCCTTTCTTTAACATAGATTCCTATATGTGAGAGATCAGAAGACTCACTCAGAAAGGCTCAAAGACTCAATTGTAAGCGAAGGCAGCCCAAAATTTAAACCAGTACCTGTACAAAGATGCCATTGCAGTATATATCACCTACGCTACGACCATAACGATCTTCTGCAAAGACGAGAACTCTCAAACACTTGCCCTGAACAATCTTAGTCAGTTCCTCCTTTGCCTCTTTTCCGTATGGCATTTTAATCTCTGGTGCATCTATTCCCCTGTTCTTATCAGAAACTATCACCCATTGATCTTATAATGAAAAGTACAAATATAATGATACTCCATCACCACTTTGCTTGGTTGCTTATTATACCTTAGTCGAATCCGATATTTTCGAGCAAGAACTTCCTCATTTTGAATAGGTAGCACCCTGCATGGAGGACTACATTGATCAATAACTTTCCAAAGGAAAATGTTGCCAAATAAGCAAAATCAATCAAATAACCAACCGATATCCTGCTTCAATAATTTGCTTGTGCAGCGCATCTGCCATTTGGAAATTCCTCTCAGCTCGGGCTTTTGATCTCTGAACAGCTGCAACTTGTACGTCTCTAGGGACGCACGATGACTCCCGGGGATCTGTGGTACTAACATATACTGTTACACCATCTCCATCTGTTACAGCTTTTGCATCCACCTAATAAAACAAAACATACATTTCATTAAGTTAAACCCTCTTGGCCAAAGAGGAATCCGATTTTCAAATAGCTCTGATGACATTGTTCTTACTGTAAGTGTCTGCAGTTCGAACAATAGTCCATCGGGATGCGATGGGGCAACCCCATCAGTAAGTTCAACAAGAGTGTGTGGAAGAGGGAGACCATAGAAAGCCAATAGACCCTATAAAACAAAGAAACCAGAGACAATGAAACCCCACACGTATGTTTTACTTTGTTGTTCTAAGCATTTCAGAAGAATCTCAGCAGTAGTTTTTTTCAGTATTTACCTCAACATCTGCCTTTTGATGTCTCTTTAAGGTCTGAATAATAAGCCTGGAAGCTTCCTCAGGTGTTTTTGGTGGAGGTTTTGCTTCTCTCCATGCCACTGAAAGTTTCTTGTACCTTCATTTGTAGCCCAATTTCACACAAATCAATAGGAAAAAGTGAGTTTAGATCACATAATTGAATCACCCAAAATCTTTGCCAATGATCAGAGGAAATTTAAAACATTTAATTTACAATTACAACCACAAAAAAAAAAAAATGAAAAATTGTGAAGCAATTACCAGTTACCCTGAGCCTTCTTGGATGAGACCACTTGCTTACTGAGTCCTTCAGGAACCTAGAAACAGGGATATTAACTATTAAGCATAGTGTTAAAGTGGGTAAAATAGTTAAGTTGCCCAAATCAATAATTAGTTGAAATACTTAGATTGTCACTCGACTTAACCACGATATGAAATTGAATCAGAATTGATGCAATAGAAGGGTGATGATACATACCTGATTGGTGATTTCATAGAGATAGAGATCATGGGCAAGGGCTGAAACGCCTACGGTGGCTGTGGTTACACCATGGTGACCCAGGGAATCCGAGTCTACGGTTGGCTTACAACAATTGCCATAAAGAAATCTAAGGGCGTTTCCCATTTTTGGGTAGCTATGGACCTTGGTGTTGGATGATTATAATAAATTTTTGCTTTCTGAATTGTGGGTGTATGAGAAGAATGAAACTGGAGCCTGAAGAAGCAACGACGAAAGACTTTTTGGAGAGAGAGAGAGGGGGGGGGGGGGGGATTTTGCTTTTGGTGAGGTTGTGGTTGGTTATGGTTGGCATTTTTCGGAAAGTGCAAGAAAATTTATTTAAATATCAATATTATCCTTATTAGAGAGATTTATATTCTATAAATAATGGCCAACATGGGAGAAAATATGGACAAAGTGAAAATTAGATATTATGGTTGGCATTTTTTTTGCGTTAGCTACGATCAATGAAGATCTGAGCCGGTAAGGCTGTTCAAATTGTGGGGTCAACGTCTCAACAGTTAGCTATTAATTATACGCTTCGTAAGCGACACTCTTCCTTTCTTTCTTTCTTTTTTTTGTTATTATAGTCCGGGGGTTAGGGTGTCTACCCAAGGTTATACGCACATTTTAAGAAATTTTTTCTCGGATTTTAGTCGGAGAGAAGTCATTCGTATCAGTAATAGATAATTTTTAAGGCATAAATTCCTCAAAATTTAACTTCAAAGAAATTATTTAGTTTCAAACTTGAAATATATAAGTTTACATCTTATTCTTGTTTCCATTAAACTGTTCCTTGGAGTTAGCGACATTTTTGTGGGGAATGTTAAGAGCAACTCCAAGGGAGGTGGCATATGGGGGTGGCAACCCCATTTGTAACCCCAAAATTAAATTTTTCACTTCAAGGGGGTGACATATGAGGTTAAAAAATAGCATCAAGATTCTTAGAGTGACATTTTTTGCAACTCTGGAGAAATAAGTTGATGAATATAGAACCGTTAAATAAATATAGATTGATGAATAAAAGTATAAAAATGACACCCCATTTTAGAATCTACCATTCGAGTAGATTAATAATTTAATGGTGTCAATACATTGTTCAAGCTTGAAAATGAGTGATTTGACACCCTAAAATGACAACTCTTTTTGGAGTTGCTATAAGCCCAACCCTTTCTTTGAAGAAAATATTGAGTATAAGGATTACACCATATTATTATAGGTGATGTAAGCACCCACTAATAAATGGACAAATACACCGGTAAACCCAAATGCAAATTCGATTAATTGGTTATTAGTTCATATTGAATTGGTTATTATTATATCCAAATTCAAATACATAAATTATACCAAAGTTTGAATGACTTGACTATGGTATCGAAATTCAAAATTTTAGTATCATACCTAAATTTATCACATTTATAGTAACTTTTACCATATTTGTTGGTACTTTTACCACTCTTGTAGAAGTTAAAAAAATAATAAAAATAGTTATCACAATAGTGATAAAAATATCTACAAATGTGATAAAAACACTCACAAATGTAATAAATTATCCACAAAAATAATAAATTTTTTTGTACTTCAAAAAAATAATAAAAACAATTACCTCAAATGTAGTAAAAACACCCACAAAAGTGATAAATTTTTAGTTGTAAAATGACCCATAAAAATTATAAAAATACCCTTTAAAATAATAAATTTTGGAGATATAATACCGAATTTTTTTTTTAGAAATACCGTAGTCAAATCCAAGTTTGAATAACACCCCTTATTAGATACAAACAAATCCTACATGTGATGTAAAATTAATTCACTTGTGATTGGTAATAATTGCGGAATCAAAATTTTCCTCTCTCAAACTCGGTTCTATATGGGATTGAACACCAAGGTCCGTTCGTCTTTTTTAATTTAATACCATTCTTTAAATCCAAATATGGGATGAGTGCTAGAATAATAAACTAACATTATTATGTCAACCGTGATTCAAACACTATATAGATGTTATAGGACTCGAATCAAACACTCTTTTTGTTGGAATTTAGATCTTCTCTGTTTATCCTTTCTTTTATTTTTTTTATTACAGTATTAAATGAATGACATGTGTACGATTTTTTGTTGTATAGACCAAACTAAAATTATTAGTTTGCCATCTTAAAGCTGCAAGACATAAACCAGAATATGTGGTTTTGGGGGTAGGGAGAGAATTCTTTTTCTCCAAAACAATAAATTTAAATTGATCAAAATATTATTAATGCACGTAGGACTCCTTTCCCTATCGCCCCGCAGCTCCGCTTTCCTTCCTCTTAACTAGGCCGGTCAATGTACGGATTTTGAATCTAAATTCAATTAGTTGGATATGAATTAATATTATTTATCGATAATTTAAACTCGAATGCGAACTCAATATCTTATGTTTCATAGATTTAAATTTAGATATTTTTATATTTAATGAGATTAAGATCCGATCCAAATTATTTATATATTTATATATAGATATTAAAAAAAAATAAGTGATTATTTAAAAAAATTTAGTTAAACTTTAGGTATACTTTGTTAAAATTAAATTAAATAAGTTATTGGGATGAACTTTTGAAAACAGATTTTGAATTATTAACGAATTCGGATATAAACTATGAAAATAAAATTCATCGAATTATCATATCAAATTTGAATCGAACTTTTGAAATTCAATTCAAATTCAAACCAATCAGAATCTGATTCAAATTTGATCCATCAACAAATCCACTCTTTAACTCATTAGAAAACCCATTAAAAGCACAAAAGAAGCTTTTTTTGAAAAGTGAACGCCCCACAATGAAAGGAATCAAGTACCTCACCCACCACTTTTATAATTATATGCATTTACTGATTGATAACCCAAAGAATTGAAAGCTCCTCCCCCTCCCCACCTTGAGAGGATTAGCAGTTGGCAAATGGAATTAAATTGTATTTTATCCCTTCAGAACTTCAACAATTCAGCTAAAACTCCCATACTTAATTGATATGAAATCAATAGTTAAGGGAGGATTAAATTGAGATAATTGAAAGTCAAATAATTATTTTGAAAGAGATTTTTTTTTTATTTTTTGTAAATGGGTTTTTGCTTGGTCGATTATTCGGAAATAATACTAGTGAAGTTTTAGCTTTAAAACAGGGGAGAGAATAGTCATTTTAGAGTAAATATGTGAGCAACAGCAATAGGAGCCGAATATCAACCACTTCTTTGCTGCTAATGGTCACGTCACAAAACTCGAATACATACAATCATTCATAAATGAGTTTGAATTTTAAATATAAAAATTTACCTTTATATTTATTTTAATTATTGAACCGAGTAAAACAATTTTTTGTCGGACTTGAGTTGGAGAGAATTTGTCAAAAAAATATAACTTTCATACTTAATTTATTTATTAATTTGTATATAATAAATCATGTTATATCAAATTCATATAATATATAATTAATATATATATCGTGTTATATATTTTTTTTCAATCCAACGGTCAAGAATATCAAGATTAAATTAAATACACCTCAACTAATCTGATCAAAAGATAATTTATTCACGCCGACATTAAAATAGAATTTATCCACACTCTCATAACTTAGTTCAAAGAAGTTATCAAAATTTAAAATATTTAAATTTAAAATTCGTTCTCGTTACCACCTGAATTATACCTTAAATATCACATATTTTTTTAATTAATTTTATTAATATTCAATTTATTTATTAATCATATCATATATAACCCATTCATTTACAAAATAAATGACTTAAAAAAAATTAAAATCTTCTAATTTTGTGTTTTTTAATAAATCAAATCATATTTTGAAACTCTTACCATCAATTCAAATTTGTGTCTATCGAGATTTTTTCTTTATTGCTATTCTGTACTTTTATTCAAATCAAAGTGAAGGATAGAAAATGTCTCAAGTACAAACAGCTACATGTAACATCAACATAACGCTGAAAATCTACATATCAGACCCAAGTTAAAGTAAATGTACAAATACACTATACTACATTAAACACCCTGACTCGGTCTTCACCGAACTCACTGAGCCCACACTCCCCAACTCGGTCTACCTTGGCTGCTGAATCGTCCTCGGACTCACTTTCACATTTACAATCTTCGGAGCCTTCTCAAAGTACCTAGGCGTCCCCGCCATGACACGCGGTTTCCTCCACTTCAACACTCCAAGGGAAACCAAATCCTTCTGCCCTTCTCTCTCCTCTTCTGCACGAAAATCAAGTGAGTTAGCAAAGGATCTAAACCGGTAATTCGAACGAGTTGACTCGGAGTAAGTACGGTATTTAGAAGGATTTACGTACGTTTGATGGTGGTACCACCGAAGAGATCGTTCATGTTAGGAAGGACAGGGTCGTAATTATCGGGGAAGGTAGGGTCATTTTGGGGATCACAGAAGCATTCCTCAAGCCAGTAATCGCGAAACCAAGGGGAGGACTGAACTAGATCCCACCACTGGTCGGAAAAGTCCTCCACCGTCCGATAGGACGCCGGAACGAAGATCGGGGCGTAAGGATTTAGAGTCGATGGAGGAGTGTTTCGTGAAATTACGTCCATTGTCACTCTCTGCGAATAAGCCGTCACCGTTCAACACATAGATAATACAGTTAGAGGGTGCGTGTGTGTGTGTGTGTGTTTGGGGGAGGGGGGAGCGGCGTGTGTGTGTGAGAGAAAGAGAGAGGGGTACCTGACGTCGGAGAAATATCTTTGATCGGATCTATGAGGTTAGGCGTGTGGATGTTGCTCTGGACGTTACCTTTTATAGATGAACAGTGGAGAAAGAGTCACAGACTTGAAAAGTATTACAATAATACCACTGATGTATCGTTTCAGTGTAATCCGTCCGTTGGATTGATATTCACAGATCCCAATATTCAAATTATAGACCCACAGGTTAGCAACCTAGGCTTCGTATTTTGGGACTGACACACACAATATGACAGCCTGCCACGTGGGAGTATCACATTGGATTAAAATATGTTTGTCCTCCTCATCCATAAGAGGCCACACACGTCAGCCATCTCATCCTCTACACCGACATTACACTGGCATATTGTAGGTTTTTTCTTGTTGTTTAGGGATTTGAAATCAATATCATTCTCTTTTACTCAATTTTATTCATGAAGAATTGCATGCAAATTTTTTGAATTTCGCCAATTTAATAACTCAATTTTTTTGACATTTGAAATATTATATACAGCTCCTTAAAATTTGTACACACGTTAAACTTAGATCCTTGTTGTCATATTCGTTAGTAAATTATAACTAGATTCCTTAAAATTTATAAGCATATAATACTTAGACCCTTCAATTTTAAAATACTATATGTACATAAAAATAAATCCAATCGAGAATAGAATATCAAAAATAAAACTAAAAAAAATTTAAAAATTAATTTTTCTTAAAAAATCGTAATTAGTATACAATTATACTATCTATTTGAAATAAAATTAAAACAACAAACAAAAAAACTAAATCATTCATAATAAAACATAAAATTTATAACCAAAATTCATGTTTCATTGTATCATTTATCAAAATAAAAAAATAAAAAATTAATTTTTTTCTTAAAAAATAATAATTATTATACAAATTATATTATATATTAGAATAAACCTACAAAAATAGGTTAAACTTTAATGGATACAATATATTAGTTTTAATTGGGATAATTTGATTGTTTAAATGATTAAATTAAATTCCAATAGATAATATGCTTGTATATTAATTATAATTTTTAAGAAAAAATTAAATTTTTATTTTTGATTTTATTTCAATAAATGATACAATAAAACATAAATTTTAGTTGTAAAATTTAAAATATTTGATATTTTATCTTTGATTAGAGTATTTTTTTGTCTAAATATAATAATTTAAATTTGAAAGGTGTAAGTATTGTACGTTTATAAATTTTAAGAGGTCTGGTGTAATTTACTAGCGGATATGCTAACAGACATTGACGACAAGGATTTAAGTGTTATACGCATACAAATATTAAGGTTTTGTGTATAATATTTCAAATATTAACGAATCTGAGTGATTAAATGATAAATCTCAGAGATTTGAGTGTAATTTTTCCATTTATTTATGAGTATATCATTTATCTTTAACATACATGGGATCCAATATTTATTGGAAGGTTTCTTATCTATACCCAATGGATAATGAAATTGAAAATTTTTTACATTATCTTAAAATATGTACTTTATAATTATTATTGATTTCATTGTGAATTTTAGTATTTATTGAACTCTGTTACCTATTTAATGATTATAATTGATGATGCATAATCAAGAATCGAGTATATAATGCAGAGTAATTAATGAAGCAATTAACGATAAAAGATAAAGATTGAGTCAACACAGACAAACACACAAATATATAGTAATTTGGTTAAGGTGACCTACTCCACTTTGAAAATAACAACAATAACTGGTGGTCTTTATTGATGAAATAGTAGGTGAGAGAGAGAGCACAAATGTATGCTCTTGGTAGCTATGAGAGAGATATATATGCAATATGTGTAGAAGGATATCCCTCTCGTATGGAGAGGACTTACAATTTATAGGCGCAAACTCTTAGTTGAAACGATGACGTGAAGGAACAGGTGATTAGTCGTTCAGAGTGGATAACTACAGCAAAGGATTAATATAATCAGAGATAGTCTTGATTTTAGAGAGTGACTATCTCAATAATTATTTCTCACGTGCGCTTATCTTCTTGGACTCATTAAACTGTGGACTGAGCCAGATCCATGAGCTGGACTTCACCTGTCTTATAACTAATTTGGGCTCACTTAATTAATTGGGTCTGACACAATTAAATTTGAGTTCGTCAATAATTATCAAGTACACATTGTAAATTTGAATAACATTTCTCTTGAAGAAAAGTGTAATGAATTGGATCTCAATATAGCTTTTAATTTTTAAAAACAAAAATTCTTCTTTAAAATGAATTTTACAAGATTGAATTTAAAGAA